AATAGAGCGCAGAAGAAGACCAATGACATAATACGAAAGAAAATTTACTTATGTGTGTGCTGATGCAGGATTAGCCAAGGGACATTTTTCCCCCCACAAATTTCATAGATTTCCACATTACTTATTGCCCCATGATAAAATCTATAAGAAAAACAAGTCTTGTTATGATTCTAGATAATAATCATGTAGAGAAAGACATTAAACACGGCTTTAAACAGCATAGAAAAATGTTACTTTCAGTTACCTCAGAAAAGTGTATAATTACTGTTTCATTTATTAGGATATACATTTTAAAAATGTAACAACAACGCTACAAGTCATCGCTGCTAGTCATGTATGTAATTATATCATTTAAACATAAATACGATAGGCACTGGCATATTCCTCTAAACATTAAAAATATTACGTAAGCTTGACTTTGAATGTTAAACTAAGAATCAACATCACAGCACTCATGACATTCACATAAGTGCTCTGTCCCCATCTTCAGCAAGCATGACAAGCTAGTAAAATAATGTAAGTAAAGTGAAGGACTCTTTTTATGCCAGTGACGTATTGGGCTGTAGGAGTGACCATAAGAAATAAGATCAGGAATGAGATCATAAGAGAACAAGTTGGCACAGAACCAATTCTGGATTACATACAAAGACAGCAAGTGAAATGGTTTGCCCACTTGGAGAGAATGTCTTGTGACACCATACCATACAAAGCATACATGGAAAGAGAAGAAGGACGTAGAGCGCGGCGTAGACCAAGAACAAGATGGAAGGATAACATCAGAGAAACTCTACAACAGCACGATGTGCCTATGGTCGAGGCAGCCAGAAGAGCTAGAAACAGAACCTTATATCTCCCTCGACACCCACAGCGGTAAAAGAGGAAGTGAAGAAGAAGAAGAAGACGTATTGGGCATATGATGCTAGATTCATATTTGTATAGCCCAACTGGCATTCAATGGATGCCATGGTCAACATCTCACTGGTCACCTTTTCTTACCATGAAGGATGAACACAGAATTAAAAAAACTTCTCAGAACATAAATAGTACACATGTCAGGCTGGGTCAGACTCAATGCGGATTTGAATTCAAGACCTTCAGGCCAGCAGGCAAACATATAGCCTTGATGCTACCGTGGCTCTGCTGACAAACTTGGGTGATTAAACATGTGCAGTAAAGATGTTACCACTTTTCTGACTCACCCTGTATTTAGTTTATAAGTTTCTTCAAAGACTGCATTATTCATTTTTTTCTGACCATCCATAGTATTCTTTGCATTTTCTTTAGAAAACTAGCTAATAAATCTAGTTAGACCATGTCACAGTGCTATCAAACAGTTGTTAATATTTCAAAATAAAACAGAGTAAACTAAAGCAGAATCTCTACTTCAACTGTTACCCAGGCTTGATTTATGATAAGTATTTATGATAAAATGTAGTCCATGGAAGACTCACTAAATTAGAAGCAATACAATGGCTTGATAATTTTATCTCAAAATAAGTATTCACCACGAAAGATTATTTTTAAAAAAAGCCAAAAGGATGTAAACTCGGGTTAACAAACATAAGACTTGTATAGTGAAAATATAAATTTGATGTACAATATGTGTTTTAATTTGACACAATAGGGTACAAGATGTAGCAGCAAAACACAGCAAGTGTGAAATTTATTTTGCGACTGATGACTTGGATCTATGCTCTCTCAAGCATTTGGTTGTGCAGAATTTATAATCGCCATACTCAAAAGGCACCTTTCCAGTGACGTCAGTTCCACACTGCCAGCAGCGGCTGAAAAATACAATAGACATTATAAAATAACAAGAACAGACATCTCAACATGTGAAAATGGTACTTCACTTTTTCTTACCGGCTCATTTGCAATTGTGTTTGGGAAAATGCTTTTTATGCAGACTTCTGGTCGATAGTTCAGAAGATAAAACAATGAATGGCTCAAGTAAGTTTGGTTATATTCTTCCATTCAGATATCTTTAGCAGCTGTTGTGGATCTACAGCTCAAGCCATGCAGGCATCCACCATGACAGACAAGCCAACAGTTTGCAGCTGTTGTGGATCTACAGCCCAAGCCATGCAGGCATCCATCATGACAGACAAGCCAACAGTTTGCAGCTGTTGTGGATCTACAGCCCAAGTCATGCAGGCATCCATCATGACAGACAAGCCAACAGTTTGCAGCTGTTGTGGATCTACAGCTCAAGCCATGCAGGCATCCATCATGACAGACAAGCCAACAGTTTGCAGCTGTTGTGGATCTACAGCTCAAGCCATGCAGGCATCCACCATGACAGACAAGCCAACAGTTTGCAGCTGTTGTGGATCTACAGCTCAAGCCATGCAGGCATCCATCATGACAGACAAGCCAACAGTTTGCAGCTGTTGTTGATCTACAGCCCAAGCCATGCAGGCATCCATCATGACAGACAAGCCAACAGTTTGGCTGCAGTATGTGAACATCAAAGGTGATCCAATTGCTGATGCTGCAACAGGGAAGTGTGCTGGATATGTTCACTATTTTTCTTCTTCTTCTTTCGTTCGCATGAAATAAATTGTCTATATCTGCAAAGCTGTCTCTAGTATGAATTTCACTGTCTTTTGTAATTCACTAAGCGGCCCGTAAAGTTTGACTTCCACAAGTGTCTCTTTTGGCCAAAGGTTTTGCCTGAAAGCGTTGAATCTGGGACAGTCTTGAAGGATGTGATCTGTTGTTTCAGGTGCCAGTCCACAAGTACACATGGCTGATTGGCCAATCTTAAATTTGTTGTACATGTGGGAGCGAAGTCGATTGTGCCCTGTTCTAAGGCGAAGGATAATGACTTGCTCTGGTCTGTCCATAATATGGTAATCATCTTGTGCCAGTTTCGGTGGCATTCTGATTGATTTGATCATTCTCTTCTTCTGTTGATAAGAGACTGGTATGTTAGGTTGTTCTTCAGTTGCACCTTCCTTAGCTAGTTTATCAGCTTTTTCGTTTCCGGGAACTCCACAGTGGGAAGGTATCCACAGCATTACTAATTTACAGCGGTTGCCTAGTTCGGATAATAGTGTCCGTATGCTTGGTAATTTTCCAGACTGGAGTGACTGAAGTACTGCTTTTGCATCTGTCAGGAATACCACTGGTTGTGAAAAATACCCTGTATTTAGTAGTTTCTCTGCCGCTATCTTGATGGCTTGAACTTCTGCATCATAGTTGTGACAGTGCTTTCCCGTTGGTAATTTGGCTGTATCCCTGGTATTATTAGGATACTCAATGTACACTCCCGCACCTCCGTTTCTGACTGCGCTTTCTGCTGACCCATCTGTGTAAACACGGACCCAAAGGTTCTGCGGGTATTCATCATCAAGTAGACTGAGGGTGGCTGTTTTGCGCTGCACACTGTTTTGTTCTTCCTTGTCAAATACTCCTTTCACTTCAGTCTTGATGTGTATTGGAAACTTATACTCCTCTCTCCAGGGGGTCCGTTCTGGGACAGCATTTAAGGATCTATCAGTTGCAGGTAAATCAGTGGTTTGTCTGCCGAGCCGTTTGGCCTGGTGGATAAAACTACTTCTCTTTAGTCGTCCCAAAGCTAAATTTTGGAATCTTTCATTCATAGGGTGACTGGGCATACTAAGAAACTTTTCTGCTTGTAAAAGCATCTTGGTGTCTCTGCGTTCACTCAGTGCTTGGGTCTGTTCACTATTATTATTTTCTTTTTCTTCTTAGCGTTTACCGGCTGTAAACTTCAGTGGAAGGTTTGGCTGTCTGCAACTTTTGGACTTTGATCTTGTTCCAGAACCTGAATGTTGAATGCACAGCCATTTTACAGATCTGTCTTATTTGTATGCAGACTACTGGTTCCTCACTTCTCAGGCAGATGCACTTTGACTTCAAAGCAAAGATTCCAAATCAATGGACTTTACTTGCCTATGGGGGCAATGGGTAAATTTCCCCAAAAATGGGGTCCTGAATCTACTCATCATCATCATCAGTTGCTGAGAAAAAAAAATACAAAATCATCACATTAAACCAGCACCCCCTATGGGGCAGCTTTAGTTTTTTTGGACTAGGTTTTGTGCGACAGATAAAGTGGCTTTAGCATTGCACGCCACCAACAGCCCTGAAAAGGACTCCTGCAGTGTTGATGTCATCGCAGGAGACAGATCCAAACACTGTCCTGACCGGTGATGAGTCATCTACCGGTGAGCCAAATGGGCGACTCGGTCGCCAATGCTGCAATCTACATTAACACAAGGACATTCACATTCAACATGAAAAAGCCACATTCCAGGAAAAATTCCAAAAATTAAAAATCTATGCACAAATATGATATTTGCAGCTAATAAGATTCTTAGATATGATGGAGTTTTTATCAGTGCTAAAACTCATGTGATATGATGGAATGTTCTGAGTCTTATTTATGGTAGGAAACTGCAGTATTTATGGACAAAATTACTTTGCAGCCATATTATAAAACTGGGTGAGGCTCATTCTACACCCCCCCCCACCCCCCCCCCAACCCCGAAAAAAAAAATGTATCTCTGCATAATTAGTTTCTTACTGAAAAACTTCAGATCTATTTTATTGCTACTGTACACCTCTGGTGTACTTATTGATTGATTACTACAACAAGTTAAAGTTAGTTGTGTATCCTTTACAGGGCGCTGCAGAACCAACCCCAGCATTTTTTAGCTGTAGTGTTTTTTCTAAAGGCAAATTTTATAATCAGTAGTTTGCCACTGCTTTCTGAACAGTCAGCTTTCAGTATCACTGTCGAAACCAACGTTAAGACGAATCGTCCGCAGCTAAGATCGAACCTAGCACCCCGGCATTATGAAGCGCGTTTCGACACCTAAACCACAGATGACTACAACAATTACACATTTAAAAAACATTGAAGACAGTAACTACCGTTACACCGAGAGCTTATGGGAGTGTCCTGAGTGCTGTGATGTGGATTCTAAATTAAAACATAAAACACCAAACACTGAGGAAGAGTTGGAAATTACCTCAGCACTGGTTTAGACATCTGCTGAGAATCATATTGCTGCAGAATTCTCTTTTCTGCTGCTAGAGCTCTCTGAAATCACACAGTAAAGGATTCAACACTGTAAAGTTATTTTCTGCCCTCAGCAATGGTACTTCTAAGATTTCAAGTTTCAAACAGATTATCTAAGTCAGTCACATCATATCCAGACAACAAAACGCTCAGTGACAATCAAATGATTCAATAAATTGAGAGTGAAGCAAACAAATTATATAAATGACAGTTAATGCAATTAACACTCTTTTAGGTAGCCTGTTTTTTGTTTGTTGACACTGTCAAATTAATCAGCTAGAAATATTTAATTAGAAAATAAATTAGAAATAATATAAATCAAACATATTTATGCAAATTTATTAGATAAAGAGAATTAGGTTAGGTTTAAGTTAGTCTCCCCAAACAAAGTAAGTCACATTTAATTCACAAGTGTGTTGGGCTGGTCTACTTTCCTGCAGGTTATGGGTGTGCTACTCTGTTTGCTTTCTGGGTTGTCTTGCATTTTCATTTTTATTCCGAGAAAGAGAATGCCTGTGACATAGGTTGCAGCACTCTCTAAACCCAGTTTGTCCATGTTTTTAGAGTGTTAAAAGCACTGGCGTGTTAAAATATACAACACATGATATCAACGACATTACAGAACACCCCTAACCTTGTGCCAAGGTTATGTGGCTCAAGGTCTACCAATCAGAAGTTAGCTAGTGTATATAGGGTTGGGATCTGGAGTGCTAAATCTTTAGTAACTAGAATCAGAGTACTACATCGATGAGCCACAGTAGTGCAGCAGTATACTGACTCTTGTTTTGTGTTCAAATCAGTGCCAAGGCAATTTATTTTAACCGACTTACTCTCCAAGGCAGACCTAACCTAAAAATGGATACCAAAAATATAAGTAAATCTTGCTGTCATGATAGTGACAACAATACTCATTAGGCACGGACTCGTATACAGAAATAATATATATGTCCCACGTGGCTCTGCAGCTTAGAGGTTAGTGGAAACATTTCACAATACAAACATAAATGAGCCTCCAGAACCCACAAGGGAAAGTAAACACAAGCATTGTTTAACCAACCTGACATATAGTGGATTAGTCTCTCTCTCTCTCTCTCTTGCGCGCGCGCGCACGCACACACATATATATAAACACACACACGCACATATATATAAACATACGCATGCACACAAACATACATACATAGGATAATTTTTTTCTGTTAATCTCCAGTCTTACCATAGAAAATCAATGAGATTGTGAGGTACTGCAAGAATTTTCGGTACATATCGTGAAAATCACCCCATCTCAATATTACATGCTGGCATCCATTCAAGCCATGGCGGGTCCCATTAGCTGTCCTATGTTGTTGTAGGGGTGGTAATATGTGGTCCTTCAGCATCTATACACAGGGTGCAGAAAAGTGGTTCCCATTCATTCAAGGCTCGACACAAAAGTGTGGCAGATGACAATGAGCAACTGTTTTTTGTGTGTGTGTGTGCATGCACACGCAACCAAGTGTGCAGCTAGTTTTCTTTTCTCTGTCAACTAGGTTTCTTGTTCAACAGTCACTAATTTCAGAACTGGTGACATTTTGGGGATGGTTCTTTCTCAAGTAAGCAAGTAAGGCCGCAGTTATAGCTTCGAAAAGTGAACACACAACACAAGTAACAGACACAATGTGGGCCACTCACAACAGGAAAAACAGAATGTGCTGTCCGCTCACAACCTGGAATATAGAAACTTATAGCCTTGAAAGTAACAAAACATGACACCCCTAGAAAGTACAACAGCATGCAGAAATTGCACGCCCGATCTGCTGGAATAATGCAAAAGAATCCATACATACTTTGAATGTTCTGCTGTGGATATATTTTATAATTTTGCAAATTTTACAAAAGCCATTACAGCCTGCCCTTTAGGACTGTTAGTTGCCATGACATTTATAACCGGCACATAGATCGTTAAATACAAGTTACCTTTTCTCTATCAGACAAAGCTAGAAACCTTTGCTTTTCTTCATTTTCTTTTCTCATTTTGGTCTCGGTTTCCTTCTTTTCCTTAATTTGAAAAAAAAAAACATGAACAAAACTAAAATGAGATGCATAAATAAATTTTTAAAAAGCAATGGTAAGACGCATACATTTTCATGTAATAGTTTCTAATAAATATAACTGGATTTATCCTTTCTTATAAGTATCACAAATATAAGAATGGAAACAGAAATAAGCAAACAAGGTAGGACTAAGGGAAAAACATTTTCAGCTTTGTTTTTATACCACACACATTATTCTTTTTGGTTATCTTCTTAAAACAATATGGTTGTATCTATGTGTATGTGTTGTGACTGTAAGTACGCCTGTATATGTTGTATCGGTGTGGGTTGTCTGTGTATGTGTACATGCTGTGACTGTTTTTTTTTGGGTCTGTGTATGTGTGTTGTGTCTGTGTGCATGTGTTATATTAGTGAAAGTACGTGTGCTCGCATATGTTATAATCAGTGTGTGTTGTGTCTGTGTGCATGTGTTATGTCAGAGAGAGTACGTATGCTCGCATATGTTATAATCAGTGTGTGTTGTCTGTGTATGTGTGTTGTGTCTGTGTGCATGTGTTATATTAGTGAAAGTATGTATGCTCGCATATGTTATAATCAGTGTGTGTTGTGTCTGTGTGCATGTGTTATGTCAGAGAGAGTACGTATGCTCGCATATGTTATAATCAGTGTGTGTTGTCTTTGTGAAGAAAAGTTTGGGAAACACTGGTCTATGGTGATTAAAACGTCTCCTTTAATTATTCATTTTAATTTCTTCTTTAAAATAACGTAAAAATTAAAAACTTCCCATGTGGGTTTTGGGACCCTATTGTGGGAGCAAAAAACACACAAAAGAATGGACCAATTGCACCTCTAATGAAGCTTCCTTCGAAGTTGGAGTGCATTTGCCAGAAAGGCTAGAAACCAACAGTCTGCATACAAATAAGCTAATCTTTAAAAGGGATGTGCATGCAAAACAAATTCTAGAACAAGACTAACGCCCAGACATGGATAAACAAACCAGGACTTTTCACCCAAGTCTACAGCTGGTGAACTCAAAGGAGACCCCAAAAAATGCTGTATTCACACTGGAGGTTGGCTGCAGTGCAACCAAAGAGATCTCTCCGAATTTTTGAGGCTACAATCTCTACCATGGACCATTGTACTACTGTATAAAAGTGATAAGAAGGGTCCTTTTCAAAACTGCCCCCCCCCCTCCCCCCAGAAATCAAAGCCTGGTGTACACTAGGGATCGGATTGTGAAACAGATTCACTAACCTATGGCCACAGAGCCACACTCTTTAACTCTTTCAGTCTCAAGGAACTCATCGTCTGTTCATTGGTTACACTATATATGGTACACACCTTTGTACTTTTCCAATCCCATTCTTGTGTTAAAATTACCCATTATTTTCCAGCTGCTTTATAACATCTTCTCTCACAATGCTGTACTGTTCAGCTCTATGATATTAAAAAAACTGCTGCTCTACAATATACAAACTTTAGCACAGACACTGATGAATTTGACACTATTTGGGGCCAAAAGAGTTAAAAGAAGGTGCTTAAAGTCAACATATTACACAAAAACTAAATTATAACTGTACAAACTCAGCATCATACCTTATTCCGTTCAAGCAATACTTTTTTCTTTGCCTTTTTCTTTTCTGCTGCTTTCTGTTTCTTCTCAGCCTCCATTTCTGCTGTCAAGGGACCAGGAATCTGAAGTTAGTTCAATAAAAGTATCATTACCCAAACAAACAATATTTTTACATTAAATTTTCTAATAAAACAAAGCATACATACATTTAGTGAGCAACTGTAATTTAAATTTCAAACAAGAATATAAAGATTATCTGTAATCAATATAAATTATTAGCTTGTTTTCACCTGAGCTTTGCTGTAGTCATACTGATCAGGGAACTTGGCCATGTATCGTCGAAATGCATTTCTCACCTCAGCTTCTGCTAAATTGTAGGGCGTTTTCCCAGCTTTATTTCTGGATTTGAAATCAAGAAAAAATATAAAATAAGCAGTCATGCCAGTTTGGGTTTATATGCAAAGAAAAAACAAAAGAGGAGGCTGGAGGAGGGTATAGGGGATTCTACCACTGGGATGTGAAGTGCACATCATCATGTAGCAGGTCTTTTGCTAAACATTGCTGTCATCATAGTCAGCCTGAAAGAAACTGTCTCTCACTAGCTCTCCCAATTCATGCACTTTCCTACCCAAAGCGAGACTTGATTCTTATGCCCATCGTCAAGCTGGTAGGCCCCTGCCCTTTCTCCTGGTACCATGCCTTCTGCGGTTATTTCTTCCACTGCGTCATAGCGCTTGATCTGGCCAAAACGTGAAGTGTTAGGGCTTCATAAATTCTAGGTCACGACATATGTGGTGTAAGCCAGTTTCCTTCACCATTACCTTTTCTTTCCAGAAAATTCTGGAAATTGTTGGGTATTCATTTTATGCCTGGGTCAAACCACAGAACTGAGATTGGGGGTGGGGTTGGTGGGTGCTTCTGCTGGGGATTACACTGGACCACCGTCAAGGCAGATAAGCACACTCACCACTATGCTAATACAACCTCTAAAGTTACTGACATGGGGAAATTAACTCTTTCAGTTCCAGTGCTTCCTAAGTTAACAAATTCAAATATTCTTAAGAAAGATGTGCAATCACGGTGGAATTGACTTCATAATATCAGGGCAAACCTTTAAGTCACAGAACTGCACAAAGTAACAAAAGTTGCTGGTACTAAATGAGTTGTAATGTTAACCATATTCAACAACTACCACTTTAATGCGTGAGGCAGAGCAGCTTAACATAATATCTAGGTGAGATACAAGGAATTAAATAAAGCATATCATTCAAAGAGTTATCTGTGTAAAGCAGGGCTATTTAAGTGGTGGCTCGTGAGCTAACGTTGTCCCGCACATGCCTAACAAGTCACCCGTGAATCATTGCTAGTTTTATTGTATAATGATAATTCTACCCTTAGGCTTTTTGAGAGCATGCATCTTCCCTGTAGCAACTTAAGGATGTGAGTCATGGACTATCTCCCAGTCCTTGAGAAAGAAAATAAAGGGGCTCTTGAGCTGAAATGCTATAGAAAGATTCTCAGAATAATGTGGACAAAGAAGAGAAGAAATACTGATATTTAAAAAGATCTGAACATCAAGGAAGATTGCCTAATAAACAGCCTATTGTCTCGGAAGCTGAAATATTTCGGTCATATTAAGCGCCATAGCAAACTGGAAAAAATAATAGCAGAATGCATGGTGCCAGGAAGGAGGGGCAGGGACTGACCAACATGAAGATGGGCACAGAATTCAAGTGACTTCTTGAATACAAAAGTGCATAAGGTGGGAGAGCTGCCGAGAGACTGAGTTTCTTTCAGGCAGACCATGATGAGAATGATGTTCTGCAAAGGACCTGCCACATGATGATGAAGTTGAAGCTACACCCTCTGGTTGGTAACGATCCTTATTTTCAAAATGCTGGCCCATGAGTAAACATAGATGAATAGCCTTGATATAAAGAATATCAGAGAAAGTGTTATATATAAATGTCATTCCTATAAATAAACAGAGGGGGAACCTTTGAGGCCGTTTAATATTATGAATTAATCGAGTAACAGAAAGTGTATTGATCGGCACTCATAGAAAGAAGTAGAAAGATAGAAGAACACACTAGACAACATAAAAATCGAAAGCTATAGTTACCGTGCCATTTCAATGAGTTGAAATGAATTCTGTCCGTATTCCATAGTTGTGGATTTCAAGCTGTACGATAGACATGGCCAATAAGACACCTTTTCTGGGGTGCCTAGTTGACCATGTATCTTAGTGCACTTGTATTCATGGCGAGGCGCAGACGCCGTCTGGAGGTGACAGGTTCAATTCCCGGCACGGTAATTATAGCTTTCGATTTTTATGTTGTCTAGTGTGTTCTTCTATCTTTCTACTTCTTTCTATGAGTGCCGATCAATGCACTTTCTGTTACTCGATTAATTCATATATATATATAAATGTGTGCAGAGTTACTTGTTATGGGAAGAGCTGAGACATGATCATTCTTGTCTCCCTATAAAATATTCATTTCATCATCATCAATCAACAGGTCCTTCGCAGAATGTCGCTCTCTTGATGAAATGCTTGAAAGTCTCTCTTTCTCTTGACAACTCTCTAGCCCTATGTGCTTTCATAACCAATGTATCTTCAATGTCTTCTATCTACCTTTGCAGAGGTCAACTTCTGCCTCATTTTCCAGAAATTGTACACTAAATCACCGTTCTCTACAAGTCACCACAGCATTTAACATGGTCAAAATAACCCAGTTTTTGGAAAAGGTTGCTGTTTATGAGCCAATTTTCCTCAATGTTCTTGGTCCATGGTATTCTAAAAATCTATCTGAAGCATTTCGGGTCAGAAACTCCAAAAACATTTTTCAGTAACTGAGTAAAAGCCTAAATAAATATTTTCCTATAACTTTATCAAATATAAATATTTTGTCTTCTGCATTCATCGTTGAAAGGCTGGCATTCTGTATTATAGTTTACAGCTAGAACATGATAAATAAATGTAAACAAAAAAAGTATACATATTTTGTAACTTCCTTTTCCCCTGATGAATGTAAAAGTATAACTTACTTCCCAGCAGGGTCTGCACCAGAACTCAAAAGAGAGGTCACTATATCAGGATGTCCTTCTTGGGCAGCCACATGAAGAAATGTAGTTCCATCATCACTTAGAGGTGTGTTGAGAAAACTCACAACAGCAGAAGAATCTGAAGTTATTTTGACAGCACTTTCATTCACTGATGAAGATGAATCAACCATCTGCTGAATGTGGTTGTCACTCTCCAAAGTATTATATTCACTTACTGATAACTGACTAGTTGAAGACTCTTTCACATTACTATCTCGGATTGCAGGAACATTAGCAGTCAAGCTGGCAGAACTTTCAGGTATCAATGAAGTTATGTCATCGGTTTGCTGAACAGAGCTACCACTTTTCAATGTATCACAAACATAAGATAAAGCATGAAGGCTGGAAGGTTCTTTTAGACAGCTGTCCAAACAAACATTTGCACACATGCAAGCAGTAAACAGTGAATTTCTCCACCTAGCCATTTTTTTATCTGTTTGAAAGAAACAAGAAGACTTTTTAATTTTCCTAATTCCTTTTTTATATTCAGAAAATTAGCAGTCAGGATTCTATAAAGCAAACAATTAGTAATCAATCAAAAAGCACAGATTCTGCCCATCTTTAAATATTTATCAATCTGCCCCCCCCCCCCCCCCCCCCCCCCCCCAAAAAAAAATTAAAATAAAAATGTTAAAAGACCCCTGATGATTTTTTTAAAAGGATTTTTCAGAGAATTGCCAAGGGCTCAAATATGTTTTAAAAAAAAAAAATCATTTCCGGGGCAACAGGGTTAACACACATAAAGATACCCCTAGTGAAACACATACAGAAAATGACTGCAAGCCGTAACCCGATTATGTCATATGCTAACTATAAAACATCTCAGACTCATTCAGTATCCACACAGTTCACTTTTATTATCATGCAGGGTTAAATGCAAAGCAAAATGAGATTCCCCACTGTTCTGTTTGGAAACCAAAGACAAAGAAAGCTGGTCAACGTATGACATCCTCTATATCTGGGCTATTTAAAGTAAGTTTACTTAGGAGCCAGAATTTTTAAAACAAAAGGCCTGAGCCCCCAGCAGAGAAAGATCATTAATACGATACAATTAACAATTATTCGCAGGCCACTTGCTAGGCCTCAGTGTGCCAAATTAGGCCCACAGGCCAGCTGATGATTAGCCCTGCTCTATCCAATGCCTGTACAATACTGAATACTCAATGTTAGTAAATTGAGGTTTCAACATCACCGCAATCGGGCTTCCCCATACTTGCTCCCATACTTAAATACCCAACGATAAGGAGTTAACTTCCTCTCTCCTTCCAGCTGCCTCATTGAGGTATTGAGATAAGATAAAAGAATCTTCTGTGTGTGTGACTTCCTACTGCATTGCATAAGCTGATCTTCATTACTTTAAAGCTGTTCTTGACAACATTCCAGGTTTTGCATGGTCTTCTCTTGCTCTGAGTTCAATGCATTTTTTGTTTCAACATGCTTCTATGAGGCAGCTGGTACCAGAACATTTCTCTCTGGACTGCCAAAAAATTTCATCTGTTACTATTTAATGAAGAGTATGACTACAAATCTCAAAAATACATATATTCATAAGCATTCTAACAGACTTTTCTATAGAGTTGCTGTTACATTCTTCTAAAATGTGAATGCAGCACAGCTACATATATGAAAATCTGGCTTATAAAATACACACCCTATGGAAAAGTCAGACAGCTTTAGTGAACAATAATATAGTAAGTAACATTTCACCTGAATCGTTTGATGTGCTCTGCTTCTCAGCTGAGCCAGCTCTTTTCTTTTTATGCCTCTTTTTTATGCTGCTATCAAACTGTTTCAGCTCTGTCAAGTCTATCTCCTCAAAAGTCTCAACCAGACTTATTTCAATTCCTTCATCGTGATCATCTGCATCATTCAGGGTTTCAGCAAAATTGTGCTCTGTAAGATATGAAACAATATTTACAATAAGTTCAGTTGTTTAATTCGTAGTATAAATATTCAGGGTTTCAGCAAAATTATGTTCTACAAGATAATAAAAAAATGCATACAATGAGATGAGTTGTGTAATTTGTGGCACAAGTATTTAGGGTCTTCAACAAGTGTCACTCTTGTTAGTACATGAAATGGCAATTCATAAAGACATGTATGCCATGGCGGCATAGGAGTTTATTTGATAGCTTGGTGAGACAGTGTTGTGGATTCAATCCCCTGATATAGTAGGATTTTATCCAACTAGTGCAGCTCTGAATCTGACCCAGCCTCATTAAAGTGTACCACACAATTATTTTCAATAAAAAGATATTTAACGAAATGAAAGGTAGAACTAATCAGCTTCATATTATTACAATAAAAAAGAGCAAGTGAATACTGCAGCGAGAAAGCCTTCATCAGCATTTGACATGAACAGACAAGGCTAAATTTACAAACAAGGACACACACATACAAATCCCTAACTGTGGTCTCGCCAAGAAAAATCCACGACAATCCAGACAATTCCCAGCATTTTGTGAGGATTGTCTGGAAATTAGAGGCAGTGAGGAAGGGATCTGCCCAGCCCACCTGTAAAGGCTTAGAATATGCGAAAGTCAAATACTTCACACTCCTTTGGTAGTATCTCCTATGGAACTATACTGACCTTACTTATAAGAATGAGATTTCTATTCAAGCTTTCCAGTCTCCGAAAATGTCATTAGTCCTTGTAGGTTTCAGTGTGCATAAGTATTACAATTTCGAAATATGGACAAGTAGACACTATGGAAGCATAGTTAGCCAAGTATCCCCAGCATGTTTTGCCTGTTGTGGTTTTTCTAGGCATATTTTACATTCAGTAATATGCCACTGTTTTTTAAACGGTCATCTTTTGGTACCACTGTCATTATTTGAAGCCCCACCAGGGGCCCTCAATATAGCCGGGCCATAAATATGGCCTAACAGTTAAAAGGGGTTTTTGGGACCTCTCCACGGGTGATCCTCATCTGCATGGTGGCACTTTGTGTCACCAGGTGTTTATCGCTTGTGTGATGTCCTGATGGGGTACAACAAGAAAGAGAGAGAGAGAGGTACCACTGTCAAAACCAACGCAAGACAAACCGTCTGCAGCTGGGATGGAAGCATAATAGTTAGTATATTTTCTTCCCCGTGTGGGTTACGAAAAACAAGAATAGACCCACTACCTGCACAACAAGCATGTCGTAAGAGTCAACTAATTTAGTTTTTCCTTTGAAGTCGTAGTGCATCTGCCTGAGAGGCAAGGAGCCAACAGTCTTCCTAAAAATAAGTCAGATCTGTAAAACAGATGTGCCCGCAACACTCAGGTTCTGGAACAAGTCTAAAGTTCTGAGGTGGATAAACAACTAGAACTTTCTGCCTGAGTACGTCAAGAAGAAGAAGAAGTATATTTTCTTACAAGACAACTGGTTGGATTCAAGCCATGAGCCATGTGAGCAACCATGAGAGAATGGTTGCCCTTTCAACCAGTACAACTCTTGCTAGCTTTGTGGCATTTTTAATGAATAACTTTTAGTATGCTTTAGGAATGTTCTGTGAAGGAAAGGTGGTGAAAAAGTAAGTAAGTTAAGCAATGGACCTTTTCATGCCTTCAGTACATCAAACATACAGTGCTAGACATATATAATCAGCACTCGATGGATGACATGGTCAACATCACACCAATCTCCTGTACTTCTCGACATCACCTGGTACCTATTTTAGGCTAGTCACCCTAAAGAGCCAAGCTCAACAAGAAAGAACACTGGAAACATAATTTCTGTTTGATAATCCACACCATTCTTCAGAGTCTTGAAGTCAGCTGGCAATATACAAACATAGTATACAAGTATATATAAATTATTTTTCAATTCAGGCTCTAAAAATTCTTTAAAGAAGATGGAAGAAGATGTCAAAGAAGTTACATGACACTGAGATGGAAGAAGCAGGGCACAAAATTGTGCACGTGATAAATAACTACTCACCTTTAACTGTTGTTTCTGCTAGCGGCACAGGCTGCTTCTTATTTCTAGCAGATTTTGGTAAAGAGTTATCCTTCCTTAAAACCAACTGCCCAGTTTCACTATCAAATATTCTGGGAGGTGATAATGGAATAACATCACTAACTTCCGCAGCTTTACCTGCAGATAAATATTGAAGTGTCTGTATTTAAAACCAATACAACTGGTGTTGATATTCCAAAAAGTCATAGCAATATTTTCCTGGTGTAAATTTAAATTATGCCAACATTTAAAAAATGCATTCTCCCATCTCATCACGTGCATTATTATAGATAGCCTGAGAAGGTGATTTGTGTATTTATGTGTCATGGAGTGAAATTTGTGCTTCATTATGTGCTGACTTAAATCTCTTTCTTAAAAATAGCAAAATTGTTGTCCTTTGTGACTGCATGTCAATCCTCCAGGCGATTCAGAGGGATCCACGAGACAACATGGAGACAGAACTGACCCGCCAACTAAACAGACACATGGAAAACAATCAAATCATTCTCCAGTGGATTCCAGCTCACTGCGGCATACCTGAAAATGAGTTAGCAGACAGACTTGCAAAAAATGGAATGGAACAACAGTAAACAACAACACGCCCATTCATTGTCATTACCAGAAATCAGAACACCTTTAACATAAAATAAAGAACAGAATTGTGGACCTGAGAACAAGCTAACAGTACAACATCCACAAGACACACATCAGCAGAGCTCAACAGAAAAGCAACATACAACAACCTATTTCAATCTACGAACAGGAAACACTGCAGGCTCAACTACCCCACTGTGCATAAAATAAAGATTGTGCAGACCCCACAGGTGCCTGTCAAACAGGACCAAAAAGAACCTGAGCAAACAAATTCTGCAGACCTGCCCACTCTAGGTTCTACAACTTCGAACCCAGAACAGAATACACCTGGCCTCAAAAGCAAAAGTGAGTGTGCAGAGCATGCCAGCTATGGGACTGAAACCATGAAGGACCTGCAGCTGACATGCGAGTTCATAGAGGAAACATAATTCAGTTGACATTATTCACCATAAAAAAAAAAGAGTCAACTGGTAATTATTATTTAAGAAGTCAAACAGAAGACAACATTCATCATCATCATCATCCCTATCATCAGAGGCCTTGCCGAGGTAGGTGATCATAACTCTCCACAACCTGTGATCTCCAACATTATGTATTAGTTCATGTGTTGACATCACTCCCTGCTATGACCAAAAAAAAAGCTGTCAAGAATCTTCTCAAGTTTGTGCTCCTCTATCTCCCTTTTTTCAACAAGATTGTTTGACTCACTTGATTTCCAGTTTTCTTCTAACAACAACAACAAAAGCAAAGTCTACTATTAAAAAATGACGATTGTCATCTTCTAGGAACAAGACTTTAAAGACACGGTGTAGAACAAAAATTCTGAAAACTATAGGAAGATGCGGATGAAGAAGACGACACTTTTACGGAAGTCAAATATAGATAAGACACACACTATTAAAAGAATGAATTCACATGTCCTATGAAACTAACTGGGAAGGCTAAACTGAACAACAAATGCCTGAAGAAGTCAGATGTGACGGCTGAAAGGCACAAATGTAGCAGCTATACTGTAAACAGGCAAAGCACAATTATATCACTAAAACATACGACGAAGAAGAAGAATGACGTTACCATAGCACTCCACTGAAGCCAACATTTGATGTACTCTCTTTGCTTCACTAAATGTAGGTCTTCTGGTGGCAAATGGAATGACTCTGATCCTTGGATCATCTTTTTTCAATGCTGGGTTTTTGCCTCCGAAAAACATGGCTCTATTGGCCACAGGTACACGAATAAATATGTAATCAGACACTTTCACATGCTCTTCCCATCTTGTTAGCAGATCCTGGACATCCTGTGTAGCAATACAGCAATAATACATTAGGTTAAATGTGTAGCAAAAGTTTCGATGTTTCCGATTGTTTTCCATATGACATCTGTAACACTGCTGATGTGTACAGAAAGAAGAATTGAACCCTCTGGAGACGGAGCCTTTTTCTAGTTTCAGTGTCAAAAAGACAAAGCCTTCAGGAGGGGATTCTCACAGTTAATACACTCAAAATTTTAAAAAATAAAGCGTTTCACTTTGCTGACCAACAATCTGGTGCATTACTGTCACCCATTACCAAGGGTGTTTGAAGATTTTTGTAAAAATGACTGCTTTTCTGATAGAATTCATTACAAATTTTTTTTTAAAGGCGTAGGGTATTGAAACTTTCGGAGGCCCATTAGGAATGGTTGCTACACATGAAAACAAATATGTTATGCAAATATGTCACATGATCATGGTGGCCATCTTGGATTTGTTTTGCTATTTATAGAAATTTCAGGAGATGTTTGAAAACCATCATCTTTTTCCACTTTTTAGTGAATTTATTCAACTTCAATGCAATAAAATGTTGGGGACATGGTTGGCAATGAATAAAATAAGCTTTGTATGAGTACTTTTTTAACGATTAACCAAATATTTCAACATTAAAATGAAACAAAAATTGAATAAACTAAAAAAAAATGTTTTCTTTCTTGAGTGTTTTGTGTTTATGTGGCATGTTACAATGAGGATTTGTGAATGTTTGATTACAAAAACACCTCTAACCTCTAGCTAAAGTCTGAGCTACTTCATTCATTCACTGAAGTTGAAGCTGTAGAACTCTGCAAGAGTCTTTGTCGGGAACGTTGATAATCCTCAACTGTATGGTATAGCTTGAAACAGGGTGTCAAGCATAGAGGTGTATTGCAATCTTGGCAGTACATGCAAGTCTGGCTTCTTTTACCTGCAGCCTTACACACTTTACAATCTGGTTTGTACTTTAGCTTTTCATATTTTTTAATAAAATGGCGTTCGGTAAGTCGTGATGTTGTGACTTGTGATGTTGTGACTTGTGGTCTTGAAGGTATTATGTTGTGCCGAAGAACAGCAGGTCCGATAAGAGCAAGACTGACATCCTGTCTGAACTTCTTTGCTGTTTTCTTATTTGTAGAGTTGACAGTGTTGTAGCTTATATGCCCATTCATCAGAGCAGTTTCAACTAAAAAATGATACAATGGCAGGTACCATTTATAGGATCTGTGCGGGTATGGGTAGTTTGCAGCAAGTTGGTCGAAGTGATCGACACCACCCATACTTTTGTTGTATTTTTCAGCCAGAACAGGCTTGTTGATAATTCTATCCTCAGGAGCTCCCCTTTTTCTAACTGTCTTTTCCATGACATCATTTGAGTGAACAGTAGAAATTAGGTTAACTCTCTTGGTATCATGCCAGGTAACGGCCAACATGCCTTTATCTTCTGTTACACAAAACACAGGATTTTCTGCCTTTTTCTGTTTCAGCTGGTTTTTCTTTAATATCTCAGGAAAATGCTTCATTCTTTCAGACACTGTGCCACATTCACCAATCTGCATTTCTTTTAGCTCTTGAAATAAAGCTGGGCTTGAATAAAAACTGTCACAGTACAGAATATGTCCTTTATATTCGTATTCGTCAAGAAGGTGTTTAACAAGTGTGGAAGTCATCCCGACACAACCTTCTTTATTTGCCTTACCAGTATACATCTCTAGTTTTAAGCAATACTGAGTTTTAGCATCGGTAAGCACAAATAACTTGAATCCCCACTTTGTAGGCTTTGCTGGTAGGTACTGCTTAAAATATATTTTGCCTTTGAACCATACCACTGATTCATCTATGGATAACTCACATCCAGGTGTGTAGTTTTCCCTGTATGTAGGCAATATGATGTCTAGTAGGGGCCTGAGTTTGAACAATGGATCATACCCAGGCTGTCCTCTTTCATTTCTGACATCATTATTGTTGAAATGAAGATTTCTGTGAAGCAGTTGTTATCTGTTTTGACTCATGGCCCTCAAATATGCTGTTTCATTCAGCCAAAAATTCTTAGATCAGTAGTCTGAAACTGCTGGTTTACAGCATATTCCCAAACCAATGTGAAGGCCTATAAATGCAGAAATTTCAACTGCATTAGTGTTATTCCAAGTAAGTTTTTTGTACTTGGCACTTCCAGTGTACTGAGACAGGTGATTTTCACCATAACTGTTGACTTCACGTGTGATCAGATCTATGACAGTGTCAGGAAAAAAAATTTTGAAAAAATTAATCAGCACAAATCCAGTTGTGTCTGACACAACACCTTGTTGTTCTTGGTATGGAGAAAGATTGTAAATCTCAACAAGTTCATTTTCAGCAGCCTTTCTCCATTTCCAAACTACATTTTCAGCTGTAGAAATGTTCTGGTCTCTTGTGTCACGCCCACTTTTATCAACAGAAGTGCCTACATCACCTGCCTCATCAAGTCCATCATCGCTGTCGCTTCTTTCAGTTGCGATATCGTCCACTGGTGCATCTCTGCTAAGCCAGGAATCATCGCTTTCAGCACCATATTCACTTGCAGAGTCAGAATCGTCTCTGTTACAGGTCTGGGTTTCATCATCAGACATGATGAAAAGGCTGTATACGCACTTGACACAAAAATTAACAAAATTTCACTGAAAAAAACGCCCGCAATGACTCTAATCGATATGAATCTAAAGGACGGCCATCTTGGAACAATTAGAATATCCGGATGCAGTTTAATTCAAAAACTATCGGTAGGGACGTCGGTCGGCAGACTACAAGTTGCGAATTCATCGATCGTCGAAGTTGGTCACCAGGGGATATGGCCGGAAATTCGTCGATCGTCGAAGTTGGTCAGCAAAGGATTAATTAACATATAGAACACTATATATATTCGTGTAGAAAACTGAATGAGCTTAACAGAATATTTATGAATCAAACTGAAATCTCAACATTGTTCAAATTAACTATTCTGATTTGCATAATTTAAGCAAGCATTTTTTTTTAAAAACTTGGGAACAAAGATGACTAACCTAAAAAAATTTGGGTGAATTTTTTGTGGATGAAGCTTGAATAAGTCCTAACACCTGCATTTTGGGAAGGCACTTCAGACACTTCTGGCACATGTTTCTACTCATTGTCCTGCCTCCAGCTATGTTTTGGTTGCTTTGACGCAACAGTCCTTTTCGCCATTGTTGGGCACAAGTAACCCCAGAAAAAAATTTATGTAAAATTACTGAACACATCAAACTTTCTCAAAAGCCGGCACTGAACAGCCAACATGTGCAAGAAATGCGAGAAGCAATCTGACTGGCTTGTACAAAACCTGCCAGCCAATCTGAAGGCTTATATAAAATAGGGCCAACTGATTGGCCCATTTGTCCTTTTAGCTACTTTGTGTCAGGCTGATATTTCGGTGGCATCGTCTCCAGAGGGTAACCTTTAGATTGAAGAAAAATGCTCTTTTGCTAAGCAGCAGTCACAATTTACGCATTATGATTTTTTTCAAGTTCTAGAGCCATACTGAGAACACACAATACACAATGTCTAAAGGTCATTCTAACCGCCGCTTTGTTGCCAGATAGTTTGTTATTTAAAAAAAAGGACCCTTTTCTATGCCATTAGGTGTATTGGATTTACAGTGCTAGACCTATATTTGTTTTCAGCAATCAGCACTAGGTGGGTGATGTGGTCAACATCACACCGGCTGTTTTTATTTTTCAGGATTTCACTTGCTACCCATTTCTGGCTTGATCAATCTAGGAGGTGCGGTCATTAAAAAAGAGAATCTGGCTCGACGAGCATTTCAAATTATGCCAGTCCCCCCTGGATATAGAATAAATGTATATTTCAAAACTAGAGTAAATAAGGTTCTCAAAATAAAAATATAGAAACAAAAAATATTAATTGAATCATTCATTCGCATGACCACAAAAATAACGTAAAGCCAGAAAAAGAGCTATCCTACTATGCTGAGATTTAAAAAAAAAAAAACTGACCTGAACCAATGCTGCTTCATTGTATCTTCTTAAGGTAGCACCAGCACTTTTTGGTGCACCTCCCTGGCTATCTTTAGATGACTGTGCAGTTCCCCGTTTGGCTCGTACAGTGTAACGATGGAAAGTTTTATGATCAATTACTGCATTCCTGTTGTATTCAAGGATAAAAGTAAAGTCAATACATGTGTGCATGACAAGTGTAAATCAATGACCACAAAGAAGAAAACTGCAAATATGTTTGTTTTTTTAAATTGAAATTTAATAACAAAAAAAAAATATTTTTCAGTGAGAGTGATGCAGGTATTTATTTTACTAGTAACATTAGATAACTGAACCAGATTGAGTGAAAAGATGATCAACAAACTAAACAAACCAGGCACTGTCTCCGCAACAATGGAATGGATCTACAACATAAAGGTGAGCTGAGTATACATAGCACCTTAACAATTCTAAATTAAATTCTAAAGGGTGTTTTTTAAGGAGGCGCCGGGGGGGGGGGGGGGGGGGGTCCTGACAGTTAAAGAAATTCATGGCAAAGATCAAGTCACCAAGTGAGGCCACAGTTATAGCGAAGAGCGAACAGTGCCTGCCACTGACCACATGGAAAACAGAAAGTGCTGGCCGCTCACAATGTGGAATATAGAATGCTTAAAGCGTTTAAAATAACAAAACATTACACCCCTAGAACATAGGACAGCCTGTGGGAAATCTTTAAAAAAAAACCTGCTGCAGGTTTCGAAACCTGGTAAGCTGAGCACCATGAAACAGTGAAATGCACTTACAAACGTCTAAGCCCCAGAGCTGCACAAAATTATTTATGATATTCTGAAAAATACACTTGATTCAGAAACCACTGTAGAACATAAAAGCTGCAATGAACATAAACTTATAATATTTACCCATGAAAGACAGATCCAACAAAGTGACCTGCTGACACCATTAAAACGATCCACTTATTCTTTTCTGGCAACTTGTTCACAGCAGCAAGTATACTATCTGGGTCGTACAGAGGGTTCTGTTGGCACAAAATAAATCCAAATAAATCAATTACCAAAAACTGTAAACATGGCAATTATTTCATTTTATTCACCATCAAGTCTGTCTTCACGATAATAAATGTTACTTACAGCTTATTTATTAATATGCATCTGCATCAGTTGATTCATTTGTTTCTTTCGGAAGACATGAATAGTTTGGGAAATGGCACATTTTGGTTAGCACCCTGGTAGGAATAGTACGCTCATGTAAATTCTGCACACGAAGAGTTACAGTATAAGAGCAAGGACTGGTTGCTGGGTGTGTACAATCATTGAGGATATTATGTAAATATTGCTTTTTCAACCCTTCTGCCTGGTGACCTAGAGAAAAAAAAAAACCCCAAGCTCCTATACTTTCTGTTTTTCTAATATTCCTAACAAAATCCTTAGAAAAAGTACCATTTTACAAATTTTTGTTTACTTTCTTGACCCTGGGACCCGGTCGCCCAGTAACTGTAGCCAAAAGGGAAAATATGACTCTGAAATGTATATAAATAAAGCCATTTTCTTAAAAAGAGACTTTATGCATACACACATACCTTTTTATGGTGCAGCAAACAACGAAACAGTGATATGAGCTCTCCTTCTTTCGTTTTAAAGAATACTTTGTAGAATTTCCGTTCTGCGAAGATGAAACTTTCTTCACTTTCTGTATCAGATACAAGAGAAGTCTCATGTCCAAGTTTGTCAATCCCCTTCCATGTATCATCACCTTCTTCATCCTCATCAGATCCTGATATACTTGAAACATCGCCTTGACAAGAACAAATGGAAACAACATATTTGTTTTAAACATGCAAATGGTAGATATATTTACATGAACTTCCCGTGTGGGTTCCGGGGCGTCCAACAAGAATAGACCCACTGCCTTCAAAAAACCTGTCATAAGAGTCGACTAATTGGGAGCTTCCATTGAAGTCGGAGTACATCTGCCCTAGAGGCAAGGAACCAACAGTCTGCATGCAAATGAGTCAGACCTTTGAAATGGATGTACATACATCACTCAGATTCTGGAGCAGGACTAAAGTCCCGAAGTGGACGAACAATCATAACTTTCTGCTGGAATTTACAGCCGGTGAATGCAAAGAAGAAGAAGATTAACATGAACAATACAGTTAGTTGTGTGTCCCTTTACAGATCATAGCAGAACCAATCCCAGCAATTTGTGGTTGTGTTATTTCACTAGACAATTTTACGTTCAGTAGTTAGCTATTGTTGGCTCTGGATACCACTGTTTAAACCAACATATCCCCTGCAGCTGGGATCAAGCTCAAGACCTTGAAATTACAATGTATGTATGTATGTATGTATGTATGTATGAATGTATGCATGCATGTACGTATGTATGTATGTATGTATGTATGTATGTATGTATGTATGTATGTATGTATGTATGTATGTATGTATGTATGTATGTATGTATGTATGTATGTATGTATGTATGTATGTATGTATGTATGTATGTATGTATGTATGTATGTATGTATGTATGTATGTATGTATGTATGTATGTATGTGACACCTAAGTTAAAGTTGCTGACAATAAACTTATTGCATATTCATTCTCAGCAAGAAAAAGTTAAGTAAGGTATCCTGTTCTATGCTCTGAGGTGTGTTAACATACAGTTATAGCGATACATTGTTAAAGTCCACATACAGTTATAGTGATTCATTGTTTAAAGTCCACATACAGTTATAGTGATACACTGTTAAAGTCCAATGACTACTTCTACTCCCCAGAATAAATCCTGGCATAAATTTTGGAATTAATCAACTTGGAAGATTGGGTCAATTTGTTTTTTAAATCTATTCTGATGGAGATGTGAACCTATAGTGACTAATCCATCAAGATAACATGCTAGCCACTGAACTACTGAGGCTCACACAGTGAAGTGGGTCTTTGAAACAGCAAATGTAGAATTCACAAATCGATAAAATATTGTAATTACATTTGTTAGCTACTATAACATTATACAAGGAGTGACCGACAGTGAACGGAGAGATATTAAGGCGACACATTTCTCCTATCTTGGACACATAATAACAGATGATAGCAGAAGTAAAACAGAAATCAAACAGAGAAAAGAAATGGCTAGAACTATCTTCAGTAAGATGCAAAAATTATTGACAGCTAGAGAGATCAACAATACGTGAAAAATGACAATTGTCAAATGTTCTAAAAAATCAAACTAAGTTTTTGGAAATGTGGATGAAGAGAATAGGTCGTATTTCAAGGAAAGAACCGGTCAAATACGTAGGAGTTAATAAAAGATATTTAAAAAAAGGACAATTGAAATATGTTTGCCACATTAAAAGACATAACACTCTTTCAAAAACTATATCGAAGGGAAAAGTAAAGTGCAAAAGAGCAAGAGGCAGACAATTATACATATGGACGGATAACATCAAGAGATGCATGAAGAGCAGTCTGAGAGAGTGTATTACCAGGATACGAGACAGAAGGTGTTGGAAATCCACTGCAGCCAACCCTCACTGTGGAGACAGCGCCTGTCTGATTGACATTACACAGAATTAGCAGCAAATCTGAAGCTACATGACTTTCCAGTAAATTCAAAAAAGCTGACTTAGCCCTTCATATACTTCAAGATTTTACAGGACACCTTTGCTTCTTGTTTCTAACTGTACCCCAGCCTTCTTCTTGCTCTTTACTTTTTTATTTCTTTGTATCCATTTCACAATGCGCAAAAGACCTTAAAATTTCTCACCCTTGCAAGTTTCAAAAGAAATTGTTACGCCTTGTTTCAAACCGAGCCCCAACTATCACTGCAACCTTCCCTACATATGTGTCTGTATCTAAATGCTAATGAGCACCTACCAAATATGTTTGCTTTGCTTTCACCAACTGTGAAATCTAGTGGAAAGACTTAGTTGTTCGTCCATTTGGACTTTGTGTCAGGATCTTCATTTTACTGGCTTATTTGTGTGCCGCAAACTATACCAAAACAGTTGTGTAGGTTCCCAATAGAGCATAGACATTAAAGTAGTCGGTCACATGTCAACCTTCCTTAGTCACCTCTTACAACAGGTGTGACAGACCACACCGTTACTATTCTTTGCTTTGGGGAGTCTCAGCAGTGTAGTAGCTAGGTCATAGATGCCTGAACCGTGGGTCCAGATCTGTATCGAGACAGAGTTGTAGAACAAAATTACCTCAGCTCCCAGGCTGACCAAGTCCTAAATGCATACCAGTTAAAATCCTGGGAAGTGAACGCAGGCAGCGGGATGTTTACCTCATCACCAACCGCCAGTGGTCTAAAAATATAGGTCTAGCACTATATCCTCAATATATCTAAAGGTGTGGAAAAAGATCCTCAGCTCTTTGCTTTCAATATGAGCTAAGGGTACATGTCGCTGAGTGGGGCTTTATTAGTTGTCAACTGGTGCCAGATAATTTTCCTAACTTTTCTGGAAATTATAAATGAAGGAAAAGGGGTGATAAATGGAACTGGTGACTTCACTCCATTTTCCCATAACCAAACATAAGTAAAAAAAAAAAAAAAATCAAGACCTACATTTGTGACTGTGCTGCAATTAATACAGTATTGCAGACAAATATATTTATTGTAGCAAAGCCTCAAAAAGGACCCTTTTCCACAGCTTCAGGCACATGCCTTTATAGTACTAGACCTATGCTTTATAGATCAACTGGCACTCTGCAGGTAATGTGGTCAACATCACGCTGGATCATCCCTTACCAGAACATTACCTGTACCCATTTAAGGCTGGGTTGGCATGGAAGTCAACTTTTTTTCCTCCAGATCCGCAGGCTAATGTCTAGCCGTCACACCACTGCGGTTCCCAAAAAAGACTTCACATGCATGTCTATGTTTTTACCTGCAGTTTCTTCGAATGCATCTTCTGAGATGCATGGCAGTCCTTTCAATCTTCGATGCAGGTTATATCTGTGCCAGTCACATTTATAATGTCCAAGCTAAAACAGAAGAAACATGCGACAATGTCAGTAATACAAACATGAGTCAAAGAAATGTTGCTGCCGACATCATTTATGATCTATAAGGACAATATAATCATAGTTTATTAGTCATATTATCAGACAACAGGATATCAAGAAAGTTATAATAACTCTGAAAATTAAAGACATCAAAGACCGAGAAAATATTAGTCAGAATAATTATAATTATATTGAAGTCAATCAGTGGTCAATATGATCAAAAATACATACGCCAGATGTTTGTGAGTAGGATGAATTCTTCTTCTTCTTTGCCTTCACCGGCTGTAGTAAACTTTGATGGAAAGTTCTGGTTGTTCATCCACCTCTGGATTTTAGACTTGTTCCAGAAAATGAGAGTGTGTGCACACTGTTGGTTCCTTGCCTCTCAGACAGATGCACCCTGACTCCGACGGAAACCCCCAATTAGTCTACTCTTATGACATGCTTGTTTTGGAGGCAGCAGATCTGTTCTTGTTTTCCCCACAATGGGGCCCTGGAACTTATAAGGGGATTGGGATAAACTGATTACCTGTATCATTCAGGATGGCACATAATGATGAAATTGTACATGATTCTTCTTCTTCTTCGTGTTCACCAGCTGTAAACTTTGGGGGAAGGTTCTGGTTGTTCATCCACTTTTGGACTTCAGTCCTGTTCCAGAACCTGAGTGTTGCGTGTGCATCCGTTTTACAGATCTGACTCATTTGTATGCAGACAGCTGGTTTCTTGCCTCTCAGGCAGATGCACTCCAACTTTGAAGGAAGCTCCCAGTTAGTTGACTCTTACGACATGCTTTTGGGTACATAGTGGGTCTATTCTTGTTTTCTCTATAATGTATGTATGTCTGTATGCCCCAAAACCCATACAGGAATATATGTGATTCAACATCACGTCGCGTTAGTGATAATAAAAAAAAAAAAAGGAAAAGGGGAGGGGATTGGAGCGGGCTTATAACACAATAAGATACAGATAAAAACTAGAGGATTATCCAAAAAGATACATTTAGTGGCCAGTGAAAGAGATTCAATAAAGATACCTGTTCTTCTCTATCAGCAAAATGAGTCTGACAACAGCTGCAGGTCATGCAATCAGCAACCACCAGTTTGATCTCCTGACTATTTTCAGCACCTACATACACTAAAGCATAAATCTGCTGTGTGGTCAACATGTTTTCCAAAATATTCTTTAAACAATAAGTGGCATATAATAAAAATAATAACATAAATGTACTACTAGCCATGATTGATAACATATTTTAGCAAACAACAGTAATGAGTTTGAGTTTCAGATATGTCTACAGCTTTGAAAATGTGTTAACTAGTGTACATTACAGTCTGTTTTTAAAAAAAAAAACTCTTTCAGACCCATGAATTTTGACAGACTTGGACCACACTGATTTCCCTTTATGAAAATGGCAGATGGAGGGAGGTGGGTGTAAAAAAAAAAGGCAATAGAGAATGTAATATATTTCTAATCCCTACGTATGTTTATACATTTTTAAAAGAGGAATGAATGTATATTTTTAATCTGATGAGACTTGTTTGTTTAATACCGTTATAGTTAGTAGGAAAGAAGAATTCAACAGGTGTTAAGTTTACAAAGAAAATTTTACAAAGAAAATTTTACAATGAATATCCAAATTTTGAAATAACACTTTGAGTTTGTTCAATTTTCTAAAATTTTTTTACAGTTATGATAATTGTGTGGGTTAGTTTAGCACTCAGAGACTAAGTTCTCACAGAGTGCTGAACAAAAGTTCAAAGAAAAAAATGGCAGAAAAAAGGACCATTACACACAATATTTACTTCGTACAGTTATATACAGACTGTAGCTGCAATGATTTCAATGTAGCTTAGCCATAGTACGGTACTGAATGAAACAATCCTCTGGATGCAAATGTGGGTGACTACCACATTCTTCGCAAATAAAATGGGTTTTTCTGGGTTTATTTTATTACATTAGAATGAACAGCTGCCCGCTCAGCTGCTAACAACGTTAATTCACCAACCGAATCAAGAAGTGAGAAAAATTTAATGTGCACTTCAAGAAAATCTGATAACAGTGTAACAGAAAAGTCTTTACTCTGGAACCCACAGGGTAATAAAAATGTAGTAGGGGGGGGGGGGGGGGGACAGGCAATACAGAATAAATTAGAGACAGAGATTAGAAATGTAATGACATGGAAGGAGCTGCAGAAAATAGTTAGGGAATTGGGGGTGAAGAGGCCCTTAGCAAAAGTTGTTTTATTTTTGCCACTTACCTAAAAAAAAAAAAAAAATCCATGACCATAATGAGGATTCAATCCTGGGTTTCCCATATAAGAGCCCTGGCATTCTCAACCAATCATCACAAACAATAATCAAGAAAAAAATAACAAAAGGGATAAATAATTAATTAAAGAAATCAATTTAATGGACAAATAAGAGAAGCACCATTACAATGTGAATACAATAATCATCAATACCTGATGTCTTAGAAATCCCTGCATTTGAAAGTTAAATTCCAATGAACTAGATGTTTGTCACATTAACTCCTTCTTCACAAAATCACCAAATAAAAATTATATCAAACTGTACATTTTCTACCTATCATATAATAAATAGTAAAGAACCCTTTTTTACATAATGGGCACATAGTGCTAGATCTATATATTATAGACTAATCAGCACTTGGTGGGTGATGATGTCAGTATCACGCCGGCCCCCTTAACTTTCCAGGACTTTTATCTGGTACCTACTCAAGGTTAGGTCGACCTAGGAGACAAGGTCTTTTATAAACAAAAGTCTGGCGTTGCCAAGACCTGAACCCACAACTTTCAGTTCCGCAGGCCAGCGTCTAGCCACTACATCATGCCCCCCCCCCTTTTCCCCACCACATAAAAAAACTTAGTAATTACTTGAAAAAATTTATCTGTTTTAGAATTCTCTTTTTCAGTTCTAACTTCCTGTGAGGAAATAGTAACATTAGGGTTACATGCCGCCACCGACAGACCATCCAGCATCTGTCTTCCAGCAGTGTCAAACAGCAGATATGCTGAGTAGTGGGAGACCTGCCGATACATTGCCTGTTTGGGCTTTAACCTATTAAAAGAACATGATATAGTTATGTAATGTACTCCCCTGTGATTTAATTAATTCTTTACCAAACAACTCAGCATACAATAAACATGTAATAAAGAGAGACTAAACTAATGAGGGGTCTGTTAAAATAAAAAGTGTTGCCAAAAAAAAAAAAAAAAACCAGCGCATACCCAGTCTAGCTGTATACTACAACATATCATGCAAGTGTACTTTCAGGGGCAAACACATTTGAACACCACGCTGGTTTGTCAGCCTGGTCAAGTGAAGGAAAACTCTGCACTACAGTACTCGTGAAGATAACGCTTTAGCCCTAAGCCTAGTAGAAAGTCTTTCTATACACACTGAAAAGCTCATCATTCTTCTCAACACTCTACTTGCTGAGTGATTTTGTTACCAATATATTTTACTAAATATATTCCTCCATGATATCAACTTAAATCACAGAGCAAAATTTTTTTTCAGTCTGTCTCTTCAACTGCTGAACAGTGCTTCCCTTCTCAACACAAAACATAAAATCACTGGTAAAGACAGATAATGTTCTTGTTCTTTTTCGTTCATGGGCTATGAGCTCTGGCAGTAAATCCTGGTTGTTCACCCATTTGATCTTTGTGCTAGGGTCCGAGTTTTTAGTGTACATTCGTTTTTCTGGCTTATTTGTGTGCAGCTGGCTAATTCTTGCCCCTCAGGCAGATGCACTCCGACTTTAAAGGAAGCCCCCAATTAGTCTACTCCTGCAACATGCTTGTTGGGGAGGCAGTGGGTCTATTCTTGTTTTCCCCACAATGGGGCCCCGGAACCAACACAGCCAAAGTTCAAATAAACAAACAACCAGGACTTTCCGCTGGAGCTTACAGACAGAACAGAGAAGAAGTTTAACAGCATAGTTGTCACAATTAATTTTGTAAGGGGGTGAGGGTAACTTCTATTAGAGAACAACTGTTATCTGAATAAAATAAAACACAGTAAAGAAAAGGTGGGTTACTAATAAAGATTACAGGTCTTCATTTCACTTGGAAGTTGCTTAGTAAAAAGAAAAACACACACACATACTGATCATCATAAAATAACTATACAATTATTATATCATAAGAGAGAGAGACAACCAAACTAACTACATTAACCAGCCTGCATAAACAATATGGGCTCTCCTTTCAACTTCGGCCGGTAGACAAACATCGACGGCCGGTTAGTCAGAGTTATGTCTAAAAGAATATTAATTATAATAATATTAAGAATGTTATTACTGTGTGAATAGAGCCTGCGGATCGGAAGGTCATGCGTTCAGGTCATGGCAGAGCCACACTTTTGTCAAAAATGATCTTGGTTCCCAGCCTTGAGTGGGTACCGGGTACAGCCCTGGGAAGTAAAGGCAGCCAGCATAATGCTGACATTAGCCACCAAGTGCTGACTGTCTGGTCTTTAAAATATAGGTCTAGTCTAGAATTCTAGCCCTATATACCAAATAGGCCTGAAGGCGGGGAAATGGTCCTTTACTAATACAGAAGTTACAGAAAAATGGATTACTCCTCTATGAACGTTAGTTAAAGTAATAATAATTATAATATCAATCAACATCATACAACAAGTAACAACTTTCTTACAACAGGCTGCGTTCCCCTAGGGTCGCCGTTCGAATGAGTGCCAAACATTTTTTTTTCAAGTTCAACTGCTAGCACTGCCCACAACTAAAAAATACTATAGTGAGTTAGGGATAAAAGTAAAAGTAACAACAAACCTTTGCCTTCGAGTTTGAGTTGACCTACTACACTGGACAGTGACACTCACTGGTCAGTCTGCAATCAACAACACAATTCGATTTCCACTAAATAATATAATTATAAATTAAATGAATGAATGTACTTCAAGGGGTACAGTTTTAGCCATCTAATAGTATAATAATTACATTACACAATGACTAAGTCATGCAACATGTATGTGACAGGCCAGTGTATAGACGTTAATATAAAAAAGTTCGATGTTTATTTTAATTTACAATTAACAAACATTGCACAACATTCTGCCAACACACCTGCTGTTACAAGGGACGCCACTCTGTTTTTGTTTATGTGTTGTGTAGAGTAATTGAGCCTTTGGAACTGAAATGTTACTGAAATATTCTACACTGCAATATTCTTATTTCATTATCTCTGTCATTAGTTCTCTATATCCTTTCTCAGCAGCAAATGAAGAGTCGACATGCTGATAGAATCATCTGCAACCTGATTCTTCTTCTTTTTCATGTTCACCAGCTGTAAACTCTAACGAGAGCTCTGGTTATTCGTCCATTTCTGGTCTCCAGTCCTGTTCCAGAAATTGAGTGTTGCGTGCACATTATTTGATCTTATTTGCATGCAGACTGTTGGTTCCTTGCCTCTCAGGCTGATGTATTCTGAATTAGAAGGAAGCTACCAATTAGTCTACTCTTACGACATACTTTTGGGCAGGCAGTCGGTCTATTTTTGTTTTCCCCAGAACTACACGAGGAGCAACCTGATTAAAAGTCCGCCTATGCTTCTCCCTCTGTGTTGAATATCTCCCAGAACCTCTACTCACCCCCGTTGAATGAATCCTTCAATCTGTGTGAATCCTGTCCACTAACACGGAGGAGGTGCACTCCATTAACACACAAGCACGCATCACGCACGCATATATTCAACACGCGCGAAACACTTAACACTACAGAACCAACACCGGCTTATGCTGGCTGCTAGTGATTTTACTATTTTACATTCATTATTTTGCTCAAAGCTGTCTCCAGCTGACCGACAGCCTTGGTTTGCTCCCGGCCAGCTCCAGATTTATACTGGAGCTGGCCGTGGTTTGCTAATACCGCACTTCTCACCGGCTTGCTCTCAATACCACTGTTGAAATCACTAAAAGGTGGTTTGCTACCAAGTCGCCTACAGCTGCGAGTAAATCAAGCACCTCGGAATTACAAAGCGGGTTCTCAAGCCTCAGAGTCCGACCGCCTTTTATTATTGTTCATAAAATAATCTCTGTAATAATATTTACATGCCGACACAAAGAAAATATTACAGATGGAGGTTGAGGGAAATAAATAAAATAATATATCCAAAATAATGTGACATCTATCAACAATTAAATTTTAAAATGTAACTTCTAAACATGGTTATAGAGGCCTCTTAGCCATCTTATCAATTGTCCAAGGGAGGCTTAGCCAGCCCACTCCAGCCTTATCTCACAGTATCTCACCGGTTCCGCCAGTACACGGATCCACTACCTTCCGATCCACAGGCGGGAGTCTAGCCGCCAATGCCACGGCCGCTTCCGTAATTTTGTGTACAGAAAGGTAACTGTATGTTTTCTAGAGAACATTTCACATTTCCAGGCGAACAAAATGTCAGCCGTCTCCAGAAGTCAGACCTAGGTTAGAGCAGAAAGATACTCTGCTTCCATGAGACACAGCGGATAGACTCTTATTTTAGCTCAACCTTTAGCCAAGTAACAACTGAGTGTGTATAAGTAACATGCCACGTAAAGTCAAATAAAAGCCCCCTTTTTCAAGCCTTCAGGCGTGTGGGGTACATAGAGCTAGACCTATATTTTATAGACCAATCGGCACTCAGTGGGTGATGTGGTCAGTACCACACCGGCCGCCTTTACGTCCTAGGACTTTACATGGTACCCATTTAAGGTTGGATCAACCTTGGAGCCAAGATCATTTTTTTTTGAAAAAAGTCAGGCTCACCCGTAGCTGAACCCACCACCTTTAGATCCGCACGTTAACGTCTAGCCGCTACACCACGACGGCTCCAAACCTGGCAAGTGAATTAGCGAAAAATAATTCCTGGTATTTTCACAAGAGCCATTATTGCCTAAGAACATGACACTTCTAAAAAAGAGTATTTGCCTTCTCTACTGGGATCGCACGAACGAATTTCAATTTCAAAGGTTTAAGAAACGTGCACTTACCGCGCCTGTCGACTGTCTCCTTAATTACATTATTTCATTTATATATCCCCGTATAATTAATTTCAACAAGGAAAAAAAAAATAGTTTTATTTTCACACATTACAAACGTATGTGTTGGTGGTGGTGGTAAAAGGGGGGGGGGGGGAGACGTTTAACTCCAACACGACAGCACAACGAGCGATAAACACATGGTGACACAAAGTGCCACTATTCGTATGAGAATCATCGGGTACAAATCCCAGAAACCCCTAACCAACGTTAGGTTAAATTAGGTTCCAAGACTACAGCTGGGGTGAGGATTTAAAATACCAAAAAATAACAGAGTCCCATATTGAGGCCTGCTTGTGTGTGTTTGTGAGTGTGTGTGTGAGAGAGAGAGAGAGAGAGAGAGAGAGAGAGAGAGAGAGAGAGAGAGAGAGAGAGAGAGAGAGAGAGAGAGAGAGAGAAAGAGAGACATAATTTTTGTCTTTGTCAACAGCGCCGAAATCAAAGAAAGTAAAACTACATAAACTAAAGGATCTTTGGTGCGTACTTGCCATTTAGTACATGTCTTATATTTATTTAACAGTCAATCGGATTGGATGCGTAAGGTAGTCAATATCACATCGAATACCTTTACGCCGAATACCTTTACCTATACTACCACATTACCTGCCAACCTGCACCAGACCCTTTCACGCCCAAAGCACCTGAAAGATGTTGGTACTCCTTACCCACCCCAGCACTTGAAAATATTTCGGTGAATTTTACGAACATCTCTCCAAACAGAGTTAGCCCCGCCCATTTACGCACCAAGTCCCTTTCTATTCAGTTTGTTAGGCTCGTCAACTTTGCTGAAAGTTACGGGGGTGTCGCTCGAAAAGCTTTCTGCGATGTCTTCCATTTACGTTTTCATTCCGAAAAAGAGAATGCCATGTGACATAGGTTGTAGCACACTCGTAGTGAGTTGGAGGGGGGGGGGGGGACCGTTGTGTTAGTGCCAGTCCTGCATGTTTTTGGAGGGCTAAAAGAGCTGACGTACTGAAATATGCAAGACGCGATATCAACG